ATGCGTGAAGAACTGAACGGAGGTCAAGGAGACTGGAAATGGGAAGAGGAGGAAAGGTATGGTGGAAAACCAGATAAAAAACGCAGCCATTTCTGAGTAGGTCCTTATAAGCCGGCTGAATTTATAGTTGCGCGATGGATTCCAGTTCTTTAAGGACATGATTCTATACAGTGAACACTTTTTTTTTTTCTTGGTAGGGAAGAGAATTGCAACACTCAGATTACAAGTTGTCTTCATTGATGCCTAAGACTGTGGTCGTTCCAAACAGATGGAGGCACCAAATCTCCCACTGCCAATAAATCCAGGTGTTTATGCTGTAGGTTAGTGTGACTACAAGCAGGTAGGATTAATTTCTTTTTAAAAATTATGCTTTGAATTCAATTACTTATGAGTATAATGGATTATAAATAACATGGTGTGTGCTACTGAAATCCATTGCACTTTTCATGTGTGTGGTAATAAGGTGCAGTGTAATTTACGGTTTACAAATTTATGGACCCAGAGTAATAGCTCCAGACTACAGGATGTAGAATACTGTCCTTTTCATTTCAATTTTTCCTCCAACACTGGCTAGTAAAAAATTAAGTTTTGCATTTGTGTGGCAACATCAGTAACTTCTTAGTATCTTAGAACTCAAAATCACACAATTTTTAAATTTGAAAAGATCTGCGTAGGTCATTCAGTTTATCCCCTCTTACTGCCTCTGTAAATAATAATACCTATTTATCTGGGCAAGGTGAAAATCTCTCTTTTAATAACAAAATCTGGAAAAAGATTTTCTCTTAGAATGAAGATCTGGTATTTAATAACAATTCTCCTAAATTTCCACCCCCAAACATGGTTTGTATCTGTTAAATGTCCTCTGGCTTGTGAAGACAGCTGCCAATTTTCATATTATTGGGAATATTCTGGGGATTTTTAGGGCAGTTCCAAGTAAGACACTGGTATCATATGTAGAATGACTGAGCTCAAAGATAGGCTCCAGCAGCATGAGGGGGAAAAAAAAAAGTCTACTAAGCCCTGAGATAAGGGATTTCTTTTTGAATTTAATTTATGTAAGTGAGCACCATAATTATAAAGTGTAAGGAACACGTGTGGAAAACACGAGATGGTAATTAGATCCTAAAGAGCACCTGAAGTATTGGCAAGTAAGTTTGGAGACCAATTGTCTACACAGCACCAGGAAGAGAGAAAAGACTAACTATAAACATAAAGCTTTGCTCATAAGACACATCCTCGTACTTTGAAGAGGATGAGGATAAGTCAATATAACAAAAAATAAATATTCAACATGATCACTCTACCCTCTTTGTCACGTTTTTAAGTTTCAATATGCTACTAGTCAGAAACTCATCAAGAATGGAATATCTGCATAAGAAAATGTGAAAAGTATAAAACTGCAACAATTTAATGTATTTGCCTCATTTGGTCACAAACTAACCTCTTCCGTGTTTTGGAGAACAAACCTGGCCTGCCCTTTCCTGCTATCCCACCTCTGGCTTTCCCTGACATTTCCTCATCCAAAGGCAGACATGCTGACTCCTCCGGAGAGTGGTTTGTAAATAACAACCCTCTGAGCCCTACAGAGAATGTATTTGAAAATAGAATCTCCATGTATAAACAAACCAACCGAGAGACAGATACAGGTCCAAGGCACATCCAGATTACTTTTAATTCTCTTCAGTTCTTCTGAAAAAAGAGAAAACTATGGAAATCATTCACTTCAAACCCAATCTGCCACACAAGGGACAACAATGAGTGACAGCTTGAAATTAAGTGACTAATTGTGGGATGTGGACAATTACTGGTACAGAAGTACAGATCAAAGGATGCCTTGTTCTGAAAGGCAGGAATTGGTGAAAATTTACCGATTGCTAATATATGCTAAAGCTCTTATCTGTGTCTTCCATAAGCCACCTCATTGAATCTCAAGGTGACTTTACATGGGTCACTGCACCCATCTCCACACAGGAAAAACCTGAAGCTCCAAGAGGCTAAGTGCCCAAAGGTTACAAGTAAGAGACAGGGCCAAGTTCAAACTCAGGCAGTACGACCTATCAAAAAAGGGCTTCTTGGTTCCATCTTGGACCCCAGCATCTAGGACTGACGATCGCCGGTCTCCTGAGGAATGGCTATCTTACCCCGACCAAGCCAGGACCAGAGTGGAAAATGTGTGGAAATAGTAGCTCAATTGTAATGTTTGAAGCTCTATGAAATATTTAGTTACAGCAAACTCGATGCTTTAGTTAGTTCTTTTTTTACCTTTTTAAAGGAGTGCCATTATAAAATTACCATTACTCCTTTTTTCAAAAGGGACCCTTCGACCTCTTCAGGGAATAATGAGGCAAAGTATTTAATAATGTTAACAAAATTCAAAACCAGAACACAGAATGAGCAACTGGAAGCCTCAGCTTTTAGAACTATAAGAGACTTCTGTAGCCATTTAGTCAAGGGGAATAAAGAAAGTCCGAGAGAAGTCAAATGACTTTCTACAAAGGCGCACAGCATGATCATCTCATAGCTAGCCTCAGAAGCTGGCTTCCTTTTACTCAGTGCTCTTACTATGAGTGTGGTCACTAAGTAAAAATGTAATACGATTCATTCTGTACCAAACCGAATGGCATATATTATGTCTATTTTCCATTATTATGTGCTGGATCAGACCTTCCTTCCCGATTTTTAACTAATCCATGGGAGTAACTAAGAGGTACACCAAGTCTTTCAGTTTATTTGGAAGCATATACCCTTCAATAAGGTACAAGATAAATATTTTTCACAAGCAAATAATATCACTGAACCCTTTCTCTAACTACGCACAGTGGTCCTCTAACCTCTCTTTACGCACACACTTGATTTTCAAAATTCTGGCCTCACTCAGGGAAGACAATAAGAGATCAGGCTTTCTATGTGAAAATGATGGAAACAAAAGCAGAATACCAGACAGGTAGAAGATAATTTCCCTCCTTCATATCTAGAGATTGCCACTAAGGCCAAACCTAAATACGGTTAGGACATGTCTATTAGTTGGAGTTATTACTCTTTAAAAACAAATAAACAAACAAAAAAACAAAACAAAACAAAAACCTCAGCTGCTCAACCAGTAGCATGCACTTAAATGGAAAACAAATTTAATATTTTTAAAATCTCCTTTACTTTGCTGTGAATTTAAATGAAAGGAAGCAGCTATTAAAAAAAAAAAAAAAAAAAAGGAAGAAGAAAAAGAAGAAGAAGAGGAACAGTTTGCTGTTCCAGGTCAGCATCAAGTGGGCACAGAGTCAGGAAACCCTTGTAACCAGCACCAATCTCTTATTCTTTGTTTTTGGTTAGAATTTTCATATTCAGGAACAAGATCCCTCCTAGTTAAAAGTGTTATTTGTAGCACAATATATAAATTATATTGGTGGAGTGAAAGTATGACGTTTTATCGAAGTTTGCCTAATTCAAACATCATTTATCATATAATGAATATCACAGGCTGAAAGTTAACATTTGGTGTGATTGGCAAGGGGCAACTTTAGTTATAAATCCTTTATTCTACTAATTTAAGTATCAGTATCATTTTTTATTCATTAAAGTACTTTTCCATGCATCCATATGGAAATCCTTTACCAAAAATTAATCTAGTGCCTATTTTTATTTTCTTGTACATCTTCTATTAATGTTAATTTTTTAAAAAGATTTTATTAATTTATTTGACAGACAGAGATCACAAGTAGGCAAAGAGCCAGGCAGAGAGAGAGAGGGGAAGCAGGCTCCCGGCTGAGCAGAGAGCCCGATGCGGGGCTTGATCCCAGGACTGGAGATCATGACCTGAGCTGAAGGCACAGGCTTAACCCACCGAGCCACCCAGGTGCCCCTAATGTTAATTTTTAAAGGAGCACTTTTGTCTCTTATTTTTGAGCAGCTTCCTAAACAAAATAATAAGGCAATAAAATAAATTTCAAACATTTTTCTTTGTTGAGGTCTTATGTTCCAAACAGCTTATTATACATTGTTACAAGTAACAACATGAAAGGCCCAGAGAGCTGTCCTGCATTTTTATTATCCCCAGAACTCTTCACTGATAATATTTTTGTCATTGTTTCCTAAAAATGAAGTGGAATGCAAGAAGTCTGTATAATTAGAGGGCTTAAATACCAGATTTTCAGTTTTTCAGCCTATGGGGAGGAGACTGAAGATTGGAGCTCTTCTCTTTCCCTCCCCCTTCCTCTCTCCCTACACACACAAGCACACGCATGCACACCATGCACACACATACACACGTGACAGATGAACAACTTCTTTCAACTATATGTTTTATGGTAAATCTGTTTCTAAAGGGGCTTTGTAAACAGCAACACATTTTTGGAAAATTAATGTTAGACAACTACAGAGTTAACACTCATTTTAAAATATCCTTTAAATGACAAAAACACAAACCTCCACCTTCCACTGTAAAGTGGTAATGTAAATCTAGGCCCATCTGTGTTCTATTAATTGTCTTTGCAAGCCACTTTTTACTTTGAATATTTAGAAAAACTTGCCTTCTTGCGTTATTATTTTAGATATACAACTTAATGGACTTTATTCCACTTTCTAACCTCTTTTTCTGACTTGAAAAGCATGGCCAAATAGTTGCGATAGAGCATGAGACAATTATTGTCCAGACACTAAGTGTTCACATTACACTCTGTCTCTCTGATGAACTGATAAATGAGAATCCAGTTAAAGACATTGCACTAACACAACTTCCCAAACCATCTATCCAGACGTGGCTTAGACACACAGAGGCAAATCCAAGATTGGCATTCCAATCCCAGCTATGTTTATGGAACATTGGACACATTGGTCCTTTTTTGTGTGTCATTAGGCATGAGAGAGTATATCTTGATTACGGGACTATTCCGGAGAAGTAACAACAAAATCTGGGTTCTTCAGAATCAAGTGGGTGCACTCCCCAGGCTGCCAAAGACCTGGGGTCTGGGCTACTAAATGTCAGGGTGAGATGAAAGGGCACTCACAGTTGTGGCAGGTGGCCCCACTGTATCCTGTCTCCTCACAAGCGCACTGGAAGCTGTGCCATGTTTGCGAACACTTCCCGCCATGCTCACAGTGATTGGGCACACATCTGTCAGAGAAAGAAACAAACAGAAATAAACCAACACACGAATGAGATTTATGAGTGGCCAAATTCCAAGCTGTCTGGGCAATATATCATTTCAATGCCAGGTTGACTTACCAAGGCAATTAATCCTTGTTAGTTTAAGCAGATTAATACGATCCATGATGGAAGGTGCCAAGCGCAAAAAAGATGATGTATCACAAGCCTGGTGTTTCCCATTTTTGAGTAAACAGTCGAAATTAACAAACAGTGGAGAGACTCATTTGCATATCACAGACTCATTTTATTTTGCTTTCGCACAAAAACAAAGAGACTAGCTGAATTTCCTCCTGGTAAGATGGAAGGTAAGCCATCTTGTTCCCATCCTATTCTTTAACAAGACCAATACTAAGTCAAAAAAGGGTACCACTGAGCTTTTCATAGCAATTTGAGGTTTTGAAATAATGCCATGGCAAGAGCAATCAGAATAGACTAGTCTTAAAGGATTTCTAAGTCTTCTGTCGTCTCCCTATACCCAGCTGGCCAATGAAAGCCACCTACCCGAAGTGGCATTGAGCATAATTTAGGAGGAAAATGCAGGTTTCACGTTCTTATCTCTGTTTTTCTACTTACTATGTAGCCAATTGTGGCTATGTAGTTTAACCTTTCGCAATATCAAGTTCTTACTTAAAATAACGGAGCAATTTTACCCAGCTAAGTAGTTTTAAGGTTTGGAGGAAATGCTCATAAAGGAGATAATTAACAGGAAGGAATGAGAGGGGCAGCACACAGGGGCCCTGAGTATCTGGACCGCAGCTTCCAGGCCAACTGCATCACTTGCTTGTACCCTCACGACACTGAAGTTGAAATCGGTCCAGAAACACTCCTGTTTCAGCAGCAGACTCTTTCCTTTCTCCTGGTCCTCTACCCTGATTCCTCCCACCAATTCCTCTCTGCAACTTCCCACAACCCGATTCTTTATGATCCCGATAGAGATGCTCACAGATGACAAAGGTGTTAATATGTGTTAACATTCACAAAAGATATCAAGATTTTAGTAAGAGACTGTCTACAATGGAAGCACCCGCCCAGATTAAAACAGTAGGATCTCTAATAGTGGGTCACAGGCAACACTGCATGGGACGCTGAGTCATCATGCCCTGGTAGCTGCTTGCTACAAAATGTGATAGGGGTTGCTTTGGAGATAGCATTTGCTGTTCCCCATTCTTGATTTACCACCAGGCACGCTAACCCGGGTGTGGCAGGCACACCCCTGTGAGGCACGGAACCTTTGATTCTTCCGTGAGAACGCCATTCCTCCACAACGCTTTGCAAACCTTCAGTCACGTGACAACGTTTACTGAACACCTGCTGTGTGCACAAGACACGGGAAACAGAAGGTGCGTCAGGTATCAGGAACTGACAGCCGACAAAAGTAAATCTACCGAAAGCTACCACGTAAGGTGGAAATTAGAAGTGAAATAATCAGGGCAAATGTTGCAGGACGGAGTTACACGGGAGGGGTCAGATGCAGATCTGGGGCGCACTGTAAAGTGTTTAAGCAGAGCCTCGATGAACAGACAGGACTGTAAGAGAAGAACAGAGGAAGAGCGTTCCTGGGGGAGAAATACAACAGAAGCACAGGCACGATGCTGGATTATCACGGGGGGGATGGGAAGTCTACTCTATGCTAAAAAGGCACTTGTGTTTCATATGAATTTGGGCTTGGCATTATCAAGGCTCACTAGCAGGTCCTTCTCCAAAGACCTGACAATCTAGGTGGAGGTGGGGGGTAAGAGTCACACAAAAGACACCACCAGGCAGAATTTGATGACTCATCAACGGAACAGGGAAGGCTACAGAAATACAGATATCAGAGCAGTTACCAGTGGAATATAAATAAAGGTAGAATATTAAAAAAATATACAGTTGAGAGCATTTCCCTGGGACCTTAAAAGGGGAGTTGCATTTTCATAATTAACATGTTGGAAGTGTTCCCAGCAGGAAAGCTAGAAAGTGCTGACAAGGAGACAGAACTACACCCCCCCCCCCACCACCTCCCCTGCCCATGGGCCCAGGCAGGGGCCTCAGCAGAAGGTGTTTATGCCCACAGTCCTGATTCTCCATACCATGAGACAGAGCAATTGGATGGACACTACAAAATTATGGAAAAATAAAAAAAACACCCTTGATACTTAAGTTTGGAATCCAGTATGTATATGCCTCATGTGGTATATTTACTTTCTAAATGTTTGTGAGTTAATATTAGCTCAGCCTAACAGTGAAAGTAATTTACATCAGCTCATTATATCAATTAATTCAGGGGAAAGTAGTGCAGAAGTGTATTGACTTGCAAAGGAAAACCAGGTTGGAATCTAAATGTGCTCTAAATAATGCACAAAGCAGAAAACACACCTCTCGATGATTAAAAAAAAAAAAAATTAAGACTACTGTGTACTTACACAGGAGGAGCATATAACCATCACGGGAGATTGACTGAATAGTCCTAAAATTCAGTATGAAGGATTTCTTTTAAAGTGATCTTTTATTTAAGTGGGATTTTAGTATTTTATTTTTTTAATGTCTCTTCCTTATAATTTGTATTTTTAAGACGGACATTAGCCTCATGTGTATGACTGGCATTTAGTTCTTACTGGAGAAAAATGTTCTATTTCCAAGTTGAATGGATTCAAATGTAATTTCAAACCCGAAGACTTCATCATTATATTTAAAAAAAAAAAAAAAAAATGTTAGGGCCAGTCACCAAGCAAAACAAAGTACAAATTAATCAAGCTTCCTACTTCCTGTTTATTTCTTCTCCTGTACTTGCATAAAACCATTTTTGTAAGTCCCATATCCCATTATCACATTGTTTAGTAATGACTGCTTGAACATCTTGTGTCTTCTAAATGGTGTGACTCTGCAGTTAGGGGTTCTTCTCTTCTGCTTCTTCGCAGGGCAGGTGCCTGGCCCTCCTTCAGTGAATGCCCGCCTGCCAACCCACGGACGCAATGGGGGAATGCAATGACCATGAAGGGACTGAACCACGCTTGGCGGAAACATCCCTTTTTACTGCAAAAAATATGGATTAGTGTATGTATGATTTTAGCCTTACATCTAGACTCTTGCTCCAGTAAACTATGAAATATATAATTTGTTTTACAGCAGGTCCTAGCTTGGAAGTTTGAGTCGCATCAAACCTGAATCCCAGTGGCTCCCCTGCGGCTATGGAGAACGATCTGAGCAGGATCGAGGGAGCAGTTGGCATGTGTCAATCTGATGTGATCAAAGGGCTCCAGAAGGGGTGCAGCCAATGAGCTCTGTCCCCAGATAGCCCTGGCATCAGACACCAGCTTTCGAATCAGAATGCTTTCGAATCAGAATGCTTTTTTTTTTTTTTTTATGAAACTGACTTATGCCACAATAGGTAAAGCAAACAAAAGCTAACGTTTGAGTCCCGTGTATAACAATTACTTAATATAGAAGCAAAGTCTGCGGACAGAGCGTCTGCAGAGATGCAGCAATTCCGTCCAGGGTTAAGGATGACAGCTGCAGTTTTATTCTACCCAGACTCTCTCTTTTATTTCTGTACTTGATTTTCATTGCAAGGCATTGAGGAAAATGGTATTACCTGGACAGAAGAACTGCAAATAGTACCAGATTTGCTCATCACAGCCCACTTTTGTGGATACTAGTTAAACAAAGACAGCAGAAGAAATTTCCTTTCAGATCTGAAGAATGTTTCTCTGACAGCATAATGGAGAGCAATGGTGGTCTTCAAAACCCAGCGAAAGTGTTTTTTTTCCTCTCTACAGTGCTTAATAGTAAAAATAGTTTTATATAAAATTCAAAGCAAACCTTTGTGTTACCTTTAGAACTACATTTGGTTCTATAGAACCCCATATAAAAACCAGAGTGTTGCTCTGAAATACAGTCACACAATACCCAATAATGATTAACGGTGGAGTGTCTCTCTGAATAGCTTGCTTTTGCTAATATCCTGAGCCGCTGGTACGCCAAAGTTCTCAAACTTTCAGGGACACAGAAGTCGCTGAAATCTGGTTAAAATGAAGACTCTGATTACTTAAGTATGGGATGGAGTCTGCAATTCAAACATTCTCCAGTGATGCTCAAGCTGCGGGTCAGAGGACCTCATTTTGAATGACAAAGCTCAAGAGCATTCCAGCTCTGGGTCTCAAAGAAGAATGAGGGCACCAAGAGGAGAAACTGCCCAGATGGGAGGGCACAGGGGTGGAGTTGGGGGGGGGGGGGGGGATGGGGGGGGGGGGGGGGGGCGGAGACAGTATGAAGGAAGGGCAGTTTTGGTCTGTACAGTCCTTCTCCACTCAGAGTGACAATATGATAATCTGCTAATCCCACTTGGTAGGTGTGATCATTTCCCAACACCTGAGTTTCGACCTTATTAATTCATAGAAAATCATCACAGAATATAAGGACTGTTTCATTTGGCCTTAAAAATCAAGTTCCATATTCTCAGTCTGACTCAGCTGAGGTTTCTCACCTGCTTAGTTATTGTACAGAGGTCAGCCTGCGATTCTTAATCTGCTTAGAGATTAGTACAGATTCTATACTTGCTCCTTAAATATACCTTGTTCTAAAGTTTAGACGAGATCAGGCGCGTTCAGGGTGGTATGGCTGTAGACTGCTCTAAAGTTTAGAAAAGAAAACTTCAGGTTAGGTTTAGGGTATTCTGTGAACTATTGGAAAATTATTTAGAGGGATTTATAAATTACCATCCCAGAGCAAATTACCTCTTGAATTTTATTTTTTTTCCTTTCATCTTAGCTCCCAATTTTAATTTTGCTTATCAAGCCCAGAAATTCATTTAGAAAGTTTGATTTCTTAAATGCTATTTTTTATACCGCTGGCTCTCAGAGCTATTTTCACAATCACGGCAGAGTTCTCTTCTGCATTACCGTCAATATTGATCTCAACGATATTTTAGTACTTTTATTTTCACACTAATTAGATTTCAATTTTAGTTGAAGGCATACTCTCTATGGAGT